ATACTAATAATTAAACATGAAGGAACAATTAAACCTAAGCAAAGAGATAACTTATTTAGAAAATTTGTAAATGTTACTTACAAAGTACTAAAAAATAATTTTGTTTCTAATATTACATTACAATGCCCAATCAGTAATAAAATTGTTTAATTAACTAGAAAATTATAAATAGATCTTTTAATTTTTTAAATTTACTTATTCATGTTTGCTTTTTTTAGCGTTTGGTGTGTGATTAAATGTTCATCATTTACTAGTAGTCTTGTGATATCCGAATTACTAGTACTCTAGTGATAACCTACGAGAATATAGATGACCACCTGCGAATTACTATACTCTCGTTACATGATATACTCTCTTTACGTATACTCTCTTTACAATTTACATGAATCGTTGCAACTTTATTAATCACATTGACGATATAATAATTAAACAATTTTGTAATGAATTAGCGTAAAAATGTGTTGGGAGGGAGGAAAGGATCTTCAACGCGTTTTAGGAAGTTTTAATACCATCTACAGATGTGATCACTGATTACAACGATGGGCGATTATTATATAATAATCGAATACTAATCGATTTTTATTATATTAATATGCATCGATTAATCGTTCTGAATTGTTTTAAACAATGCGTAAAATCGTTAACTTTTAATTTGTAAATTAATTGATCGTTTAGTAACAACTTATTTTTTAAAACCAAATACAATAATGTGATTCATTCTTAATTTTCTGTCTTGTTAAATTTTATTCTTTAAACTTTATGTGATTAACTCACATTTAGTTGTTATTTTAATGAAATCAGAAAAGGCAGTTTATCAACTAAAATAACGTTAAAGGTTTTTAATTAAATACAGAAGAATGTAATATACACGATTTCTTCACAAATAAAATGCAAAAACTTAATCAAACATAACTCAATTCTTTTGATTTCTTCTAATAAAAGACAAAATAAATAAAAATATATTTTACAAAAACATTTTGATATAATATAAATCTCAATAACAGATCTTCAAATTAACAATATCAAATAGAAACAAACTAAATACATGAATGTGTAGAGACGAGGAGTGATGAAGTTAAAGATCAAAAGTAATATATTTTGCTCGTCTTGAGAATTGATATAAGAATTTAAATAATTGGGCTAAAAATTGGAAAAATTCAACCATGTAAAATTATATATTTCAATTTTTCGATTAATCGTATAAAATGATCGAATGTTGTACCAATCGCGATTACATGGCCAACCCCTAGTGATAACAGAGAGTTTGTGCCACCTCGAATGTTAAAGACTATCGATCTTCTGGCAGGCGTAGTTTAAGTTTCGCACCACTTTTGTGCATCTGCGCATGCGCAGAAGATCGATAATGCTGACATGATTCAGTATGTTTACGATAGTTATTTTCATTTGATTGGCGCTAATTAAACCTACTAATATTATTGAACTTTATTTTTTATGAGTACTGTTCTTCTATCAATACTTTTTCACGAAACTTCCTCTGATGATAGAAGAGCAAGTCAATTGTATTGTTTTTAAAATTTATTTTTAATACGAACATACACAACACAAAAATTGTGAACTCGAAAGTACCCGCCGCCGGATGTACCAGGCGAAGCTAATACGGGTGAACAGTTTATAATGCAGCCCTGCTGTTGGAAGCACTAAAAGAAAAGAATTGCAACACTGCTTCTGATACAGCTCCTTTACCTGCATGTCTGCGACAGTCCCTTCACTTACCACCCTCTTCCTTTCTCCCGCCCGCTTCCTGTGTACTGGTTTATACCTGCTAAAAGCAAACCCGGCTGCGTCATTGTTTTGAAGTTAACTTACGATCCGCCTCAGCACACAGCAACGCAGATTTGTGATGGAGGAGTTTTTCCGAACGCAATCTTTCAAAGAGTTCCAGTTAGCTAAAATTTCATCTGCGTCTATTCCGAACAAGAGTACCTTATTTCGAATAGTAAAGTGCTATAAGGAGACGGGGACGTGTTTGATCGGAAACGCTGTCGCCGAAATACAGTGCTCACGCAGCAAAATCTAAAGGAAGTTCGAGATGTTCTTTCAACTTCGCCGACATCATTAAGGAACATTCAGCAGCAATGTAATTTTTCGTTCGGAAGTGCTCCTGTGACAGAAAAATTGAAAATGAGCGCATTCAAACAGCGGGCTCAGGAGCTAAAGGTTCCTGACCGGACTGCTCGTATACACTACTGTAAATGGCTGCAACGATTTGTTAGAGAAGTTCTTGAAACACTTGATGAAGTGTTTTTTTACTGCTGAGGCTTGGCTTCCTCTGGATGGAAATGTTAACCACCGAAACAGTAGACTCTGGGGTACTAAGAGACCACAGGTAACAGCAGAGATACCATTGCATTATAAAACTAGTGGTGCTACAACAGGACTTACTTTCTCGCGATATTGTTAATGACAATATAATATTACAATTTCTGTATTACACTTCAACTACAATTTGAAAAATTCTTAAACAAACGTAGCATGAAAAATACATTTTTTAAATTTCCAATGCGCAAATGAAGCTTCATGCTCAATGAAGCGCAATGGGCTTCTTGCGATTTAATTCAAAGTATTCACGTTCTAAATAAATGTACCAACGATGCAAGATGCCTATTTTAACCGCAAATAAAATTATTAGTTTATATTAACGCAAACAAAAGGCAGTCGCCATTATTATCGCTTTCTCTTGTCGGTGCTGCGTTACAATTAATAATGACCGTTATTTCGTATGGGATACACATTTTGCCACTTAGCGTTGTTGATACAGCTAGCAAAAAATGAAAATGGTTAGAAAAAATGTAATAATTAAATATAATGTTTTTATATTCATCAAAAATACTCGTTTTTTACATTCATTACTCTTCATTTCCACATTGTTATTAAACCAAAGGGTCCATTAGTTTTCACAATTAACTCAATTAAAGGAAATAATTTAAAATAGATTTTAAACAATTTCTAAAAGATTGATTTTAAAACGCATAACAAAAGCTCGAATGCAAGAAACGAACAAAGAAATGTGAAATACGAGTAGTATACAAATTCTAACTTACGTAGCAGTCAAATGCCTGGCATCATCATTTTACATTCACTAAGCCCAGAAAATTCGGATCGGGATGATGCCAAACTGCTAAAAAAATACTCATAAATTTGGAAAATTCAACATGACCTTATTTGAAGATCTGTTTTTGATGAACATATTTCATTAAGAAAAAATTGTATTCTTGCAATTATAGTTGTAGGAAGACGCCGAAATTGTTTTATTTTCATTTCTTTATATTCAGTCGAAAAAACAGGCATTTTAACGAACATGAGACCTGTACTATTCTTTAAAACGTACTTTACGCTATCTAAAGTCCAAAATTAATTCACAAAAATATGTGCGGTATTTAAGAAAAAATTTTTTTAAACAAAAACTACCTATGTTTGACACAAAACACTAACGTTTCTGAAAAATTGATCATAACAGTACTTTTACATCTATTTTCGATGAACATATTTCATTAAGAAAAATACTATCTTCATAATTGTAGTAGTAGGAAGATGCAGAAAAAACTTCCGATTTTTTCAATTTTCGAAAAAGCATGCCTTTTAGCAAACATGAGACCCGGGCCATTTTTTAAACCTTAACACTAATAACAAAGTGTAATCAAAAACGCTGGAGCCATTTTTTTGAAACTGTCCCAATGTCATGTAAAGTATCCCCCAAAATTAAAATATTGATTTCAAATTCAAAGGGCCGCTACATCAGCCAGATAGATCGGGGAGCATCAAATTTAGAGAAAATGGTTGGACAGTTTAGCCGCTAGCGTTGTTCACAGACGGACGGAGGGACGTTTTGCCGTCAATCGATTTCTTGGTACCAAGGACCCAGAAAACATGGACTCGGACTATACCACGAGTTAGATGATATTTTTTCTCTCTAAATCTAGCATCTGGATTTAATCACTTTTTCGTTGCCATGGCCCTGTAACAAGAGTTTTTCTACCAAAAATTCAGTGTGTGTGTTTTTTTTTCCTTTACATAACTTTCTCTCTTCCGCATTGGATGTAGCCAGGAAGTAATAGATGAGTGTGCCATTTCTCGTTGTTTCATTTGTTGTTTTTCAAAGAATCAGTTGGGCGGCGGATGCGTATTGGAATATATTGAGAACTTTTGGCGGAAATATTAAGAAATTGGCCGAATTTACTTCGTGGTCCATCACATGTTTTCAAGTTTGTTTGTTAGCAAACGGAGGACATTTAGAACATTTTTGGTGAGGTTCGCTTGTTTCCGACGCCAATTGTTCCTCATAATTTCTAGGAGATAAATGGCATGAAGTGCCAGGCTGTGATGTGTCGTTAACCAGTGCCTGTCCTTCTAAGACAAGTGATTATTATGCACTGAATACTGAGGCCGCTCTTTCAAAATCATTTTAATTTTTTTAAAGAAAGTATTTTAATAATAATAGTAGTAATAATAATAACAAACATTTGTTACGTGAAAGTATAATTAATTATTTATTAATACTTACACGAGCAAGTATAAAACATGTGCACCTTTCTGGAGTATATTTGTTGTGAAATTAAAACAATTAGATTATTAAATCTTCCTGAATGTATACTTTACATGGGAAGCTTATTTCACTTTCAAACAGTTTTCGAAGGAATCACTTCTCGTCCATACAGTTTTCTCTCTACGCCAGACAGGCGCCTGTCTTTCTCTTTGAACTCGTGGCTAGGACGGTCACCAGCTTTCCTCCTCTGGGTGGCAGGGTTTACCTTGCATTGAAACCGGACTGCCTCTGCCACTACCGCCCCCCCCCCCCCCCAACGAAGCAGTCACCAGTGTAATCAGCGCTACCTGCTGTGGGTTACATCTGATAAGCCGGTATCATACTGAACTTAACGAATTTGTCACAAGAAGAGACAGTCTGTCCCGGGTTTCAAAAACAAGTTGAGAAAAGCAAGATACAAACATATTGTTTTAAACAGTTATTTAATAATAAAAAAATTATTACTTCCATGAACCTCCATTATTTTTCATCAACTTATTAAAGTATCAATAGTTGCATTTCCCCCATTTTTTTATCCTCTAATATTTTTCGTTAGTACTCTGATTACTTAAGCGGACTGACCAGTATGCAGGAGCATGAACTTTCATCGCTGTCTATAGTCTTGAAGGTTGAAGACTCTCTGGCGTGAACGTCTTGTGCACGTGGCGAAACCCGGGAACATTCATGCCGAGCCTTGCGCAAAGGGAAAAACTTGAGAGAGCCATCCCTTTTCTGAAAGGAAAATGAACATGGCGTATTCCCACGTCGCAACGGCGGCGCGCCTCCGTCAAGCAGCAGAGCCCCTCCGACGCCGCCACCACTGCAGCCACGGCCGCACTGCCGTGGAAGGGGGTGGGTTCTGCAGGGGTATGTTTCGCCGACCCTCTGGCGACGACGAACAAAGGGATCGCAGCAGGTAAAACGCAGCGACCGGCGGCACAGTGGGAAGCCTACCATGTAAAGCTGTGTTCTGCTAGCGGTGGCTCACGCGCCCTCCTCCGCTTCGCGCGGCGAACAATTTTTTACTACTTTTGAAAAAAATACAGTTTATTACTATTTGAGATACAAAATAAACTGTAATATTGGATGGTTATGAAAAAGGGAGGTATCAATCTCAAGTGCATGAACCATTTTCAGATCAAATTAACATTAGAACATTAACAAAAAGATAGATTTCTAGTAGTTCATTTCTTCCACAAGAGGTAAGGCTACAACACATTTTTCCATTTTTTATGTAGTTGGGGAAATTTCAAATATTTTTCTTCCTTCTCTTTATTCAGTTATAAATGGTCAAATGTATTTCATACCAAAAATGTTGCTGTCTACTTATTTTTACAAAGTTTACTTATTTTTCCAAGAGCACACAATTGAAATTTGTGCACATGTACAATTTATATTGCGAAATTCTGAAATTTTCAGGAAAAAGGGTGAGAAAGCTAAAACCAACTGCAATAAAGAACTGTTGAAACAGAGTGTAGCATTGTATTAATTTCTAAATTGTTAAAATTAATGTTAACTGTTTGTACAGTTGCAATTCCTCATTTACAAACACAAGATTTTAAAAAATTCAAATAGAATCACTGGTTTAACTCTCACACAACTTTTAAATAAAATGCATGTATCCCTAACATCATTGTTACAACAATAAATACATTACACAATATTTACAATAATTTCAACGCATTACACTTGACATTATGTATTCCTTTTATCATGAATTACTGGGTGTGATATGGCATGCTTCTGATCACAAGTGAATGATACAGTAATGGCATATCTTGTACCAGCAGAAACTCTTTCTACAAAGTGTGTATTCTCAGAACCTGAAGTGAACATAGAAACACGACCTAAAAACAAGAAAATTTTACACTTAAGTTACTATAATTCACTACAACAATATTTCTAAGAAAGTCACATTTCTTAGGAACATATTTCAAATTACCTGTCCTTGGTTCCACAGTTCTGTTTACTTTGTCTGCATCAACAAAAACAAATCTCCCACCTTGAAAATCTCTACCATAATCACTCAAATACAAAAGTGATGTGAAATGGAATGCTTCATATGTTTCCTTTGGTTAATAAAGAAAGAAAAATACAAATAATAAACTTCACATTGATCTACACAAATTTGCACATACACATACTTAAATGACACAACTCTGCAGTGACAAAACATTTTGCACCAGAAATGCAGGAATTGTTATATTATATTTAATGTATGTTATATTTAATTATTGATATTAATTTAATTATTGATTAAAGTCCTGAAATGTATGAAGGCTAAATAAATTTGATTTTAAATTCATTATTTTTTTTATTTAACTTATTATTATTATTGTTATTATTATTATTAATAATAATAGTAATAATAATAATAATAATAATAATAATAATAATAATAATAATAATAATAATAATAATAATGTGAATTAAATGTATCTTATATTGAAATAAAAAGGAAGCAATGGCTGAAACAAATTACAGAATCAAGAAGAATAATCTTGTGACAAATTTATTAAAAGAATTGTAATCCTTACCTTATCCACATGAGTGTGCCAATATTCATCATGAATTGTTAGTGGAGGAGAACTGGTTAATCGTGAGAAAAAAGTTGGATGAGTGAGATATAAAATGTCTCTTTCCACTTGAAAGTAATTAGCTACAGCAAGTTGAATCTTCGTTTGCACAGTTCTGTTAAAAGATTAACACATTACTTGTAATGATAAAATTACATTGTTAAATAGGTGCAACAAAAAATAGATATCGTACGATCAGCAAAACTAGTCTTTCAAAAGTGTTACTCAATAATACTTTTCGTATACACATACACAGTCGTATTTCTCTACACATACACAGTTGCAGAACTTTAAATCTACTACACAAATATTTTAGGTAACAATTTGCTCCCAATATAGTATAGTTTATTCTACAAATTTTCTTATGTCCTAGTTTGTTCGTAAATATCTTTAATTTTCTATCACAATGCAACTTTCTATAATGTAATCATACAATTTTGTAGAACTTTTTTAAGAAATTAAACTGAATTTTTTCTCAAAATTTCAGTAACATTATTAAATAAAATTAACTTAAATAATGAAAAAAATACCTCTTCCTTTTTCATAGCCTTAAAAGAATGTTTTTCCTTCTCACTAATACTCTGAATTCCACCATAACAAAACTATTGCTAAAGTAGCATATATCTTTTCTAGATCTACTCTACAGATAATTCACTTTGACCTTTTATTTACCTATATAATTCAAAGTCAGAGTCCCTGAAGACACTGGCTGCCTCATTCATTTTGTACATATTTACAAAGCCTTGCTCATATGAAATTGCTCCAGAATGTAAATCTAAAATTGCAGCTCCTCCAAGTGGTTTCCCCATTGCCAGCAGACGCTTAGCCATATCTAGAAGGGCTGTTGCTTCAGAAGCAGAAATTATTTTGTCTGATACAAGACGCCCACAACGTTTTGGTAGACAGCCTAGAAGAAAACAAACTTCTGAACAACTTTCAACTCATACTATACGAACAATAAAACACCTCTCGAGATAGCATGAGAGAACACTAGGAAGCCAAGGATTGTGAAAAATTATTATAAAGTGACTTGTCACTTTACCAGGAAATTTTATCACTTCATCTTTGTAAGATGCAGAACAGGAGACTTCTTGAGCTAGATACTCATGAACATCCTTATATTTTGCAAGGGCAATTTCCTTGTTTGATTTGCTTGAAAAATACACAACCGCAAATACTCCTAATACCATTACTCCTCGGGCCCATACTCTCTGCGTTCGAAACTGTGGAAGTGGGCCAAATTTTCTGCAGAAAAATATTCGAAGATTAATATATAAATAGAAACGTTCTTTAAGTGATAGCCCTCATTTCTCATGTAACATCCATACGCACGGTTTTATTTCATCAGACGATCTGTCCTTAGAATCTGCCTTATTGGTTTTTGTTTGTAACTGGCTATCTTTCCGTTTTCTAACTTCCATCGACATATTGAATTTCGTTTTCTTACAAGAAAATTAAGAAAAAATCCTCTTGATAGGGTTTTCACCTTTCCAACGACCTTACCAAACCGCTATCACGAAACGTCAAACCCCGGTGTTTAAATGTCCGAGGACGCTAAGCAACGCTGAGTGCGAAATAGTAAACAAGTGAAAATCAGACGTGAAAACTTCAGCAGCCAACATACTGGAGTGAACGTGCGCCATAGTGTTGACCGAGTCTACCTCGATTGCAGTCGACTCACGTCAATATTAGAAGCATTAGAATTGTTTTATTGCGTAATATATCATTATTTGTGTGGAGTACGTGATAAAATACAAGACTCAGTGCATGGAGAGCGACGAAACGTAAAGACTTAAAACGCGGAAGTTGGTCTTCCAGATGCAGTAGTTGTGGCTTCGGAAAATAGTTTCTTTCTTCCATTGCTTCGGAAATTTCGCCTCTTTACTGTGCGTGGTTATGTCCCCCTTTGTTCGATTGCTTTCCAAAAACACCTGATTATTGGGACAGAACGGTAAGTCCTGTGTCATTGAATGAATGAAGGATTTTTGCATTTTGCTCAGAAAAAATAAGTGATATAACAATTTGTTTATTGCCCAACTTGATAAATGTCATTGATTGCAGATATCAAAAATGTATCGTGGAATCATATTCCGAGATTTCATAACTCTGAATTGAAGAAATTGCCGAGGAAGAATAATAATGAGATTTATAACATCTGATGTCTGCCATTCCCAGAAATAATTAAGTTATCATCATCAGCATCATCACCACCACCACCACCACCACCTTGAAAATTCATTTGACCAGACTGACCCAGATGTGTGTTTCCAAATTTGTACTTTGAGCACATGCTCTATGGTGGATTTTTCAGTATTTTTATGACCATGCAAATGAGATGAACATTATGAAAATAATGATTATCGATAAATGTAGGGAAAAAATCAGTGCTATTCATAAGTCAATGTGAGTTTATATTAAGTATTGATTAATTTGTGTGAATTATTAGGAAATTGTACTTAGTTAATTATAAGTTAGTGTGTAAAGTAGTTTTGATGTTATTTTTTGAAGTTGTGAGAGCCAAGTTGTAAAAAGTATTGGAACAAACAATGAATTCATCTAGAGGTAATGTGCAAGATAAACATTCCAAACATGCTGGAATTGGTGACTTCAAGTTTCAAGTACCTCAAGAAGCTCCTGTATTTGAACCTACAAAGGAAGAATTTCAAGATCCTTTAAAGTACATTAATTCTATTCGTCATATTGCAGAAAATTCTGGCATCTGCAAGATAAAACCACCTCCAGACTGGCAACCTCCCTTTGCAGTTGATGTGGATAAATTCAAGTTTACTCCCAGAATTCAACGCCTTAATGAATTAGAAGCAAAAACAAGAATTAAGCTAAATTTTCTGGATCAGATAGCAAAGTTCTGGGAACTTCAAGGATCCTCTCTTAAAATTCCTGTGGTAGAGAAAAAGGCATTAGATCTTTACACACTGTTTAAACTGGTACAAGATGAAGGAGGAGCTGAAACAGTCACAAAGGAAAAGAAATGGAATAAAATATCTATCAAGATGGGATTTAATGATGCGAAAGGACTAGGAAGTTTGCTGAAGCATCATTATGAAAGAATTTTATATCCTTATGATGTCTTCTGTAATGGCAAAGTACTTTCTCAACTAAAGGTAGAATCAGATAGTAACGAAACTAAAGACAAAGATTACAAGCCACATGGGATACCATCTCGGCAAGCTATCAAGCCGCCTCAAGAAAAATATGGTCGAAGATCAAAACGTTACGATTCATCAGAATTTCCAGAAGATGAAATAATTTATGAAGATGGAAGTTCATCCAATGATAACAAAGAGCTCAGGAGACTGCAGTTTTATGGTGCTGGCCCCAAAATGGCTGGTTATCAAACAAAGAAAGAAGAGAAACCAAAAAATAAAACCAGAGGAAAGAAAGTAAATTATGAATATGATCCACTTGCAAAATACATATGTCACAATTGTGGCCGTGGAGATGTTGAAGAGTGTATGTTGCTGTGTGATGGCTGTGATGATAGCTATCACACTTTCTGTCTTCTGCCTCCATTGCCAGATATACCAAAAGGAGACTGGCGGTGTCCAAAGTGTGTAGCAGAAGAGGTTAGCAAACCCACAGAAGCATTTGGTTTTGAGCAGGCTCAAAGAGAATATACTTTGCAACAGTTTGGTGAAATGGCTGACCAATTTAAGTCGGATTACTTCAATATGCCTGTTCATTTAGTGCCAACATCTCTAGTGGAAAGGGAGTTTTGGCGAATTGTATCATCTATTGATGAAGATGTGACAGTTGAGTATGGTGCTGATCTACACACAATGGATCATGGTTCTGGATTCCCAACTAAAAACTCCAATGGGAAAATTTATGATATTGATCAAGTGTATGCAGATTCTGGCTGGAATCTGAACAATTTGCCTGTTTTGGAAGGATCAGTTCTGGGTCACATAAATGCAGATATTTCAGGTATGAAGGTCCCATGGATGTATGTTGGAATGTGTTTTGCCACTTTTTGTTGGCACAATGAAGACCATTGGAGTTACTCAATAAATTATCTGCATTGGGGAGAACCAAAAACTTGGTATGGTGTTTCTGGAAACAAGGCTGAATGTTTTGAGGCTGCTATGAAAAAAGCTGCTCCTGAACTTTTTCATTCTCAACCAGATTTGCTTCATCAATTAGTCACAATTATGAATCCTAACATTTTAATGGCGGAAGGTGTCCCCGTTTGCCGCACTGATCAACATGCAGGGGAGTTTGTGGTGACTTTTCCTCGAGCTTACCATGCGGGTTTCAATCAAGGTTACAATTTTGCAGAAGCAGTGAACTTTGCACCTGCTGACTGGTTGAAAATGGGGCGTGAATGTGTAAATCACTACTCAGTTCTTCATCGTTTTTGTGTCTTTTCTCATGATGAGCTAGTATGTAAAATGGCTCTGAACCCTGATGAATTGGATATAACAGTAGCAGTTGCTGCATATCAAGATATGTTTGAAATGGTTGAATGTGAAAAGAAGTTGCGTAAATCTCTCTTGGAATGGGGAATCACTGAAGCAGAAAGAGAAGCTTTTGAATTATTGCCTGATGATGAACGACAGTGTGAGGTCTGCAAAACAACATGTTTCTTGTCAGCTGTTACGTGTAGCTGTAGTGGTGATAAGTTGGCCTGCCTTCGACACTATACAAGTTTATGTTCTTGCCAACCTGACCAACACACACTCAGATACCGTTATACTCTAGATGAACTTCCTGTTATGTTGCACAAATTAAGAATACGTGCAGATGCATTTGATACATGGATTGCTAATCTTCATGACAGTATTGATCCCAAAACTCCCAAAAAAGACTTGAGTGCTTTGAAAGCTCTGTTGGAAGAGGCTCAAGAAAAGAAGTTTGTTCCCACCGAATTATTGGATTCAGTCCAGAAAATTGTTGCAGAATCAGAGCGTTATGCAAAAGTTGCCCAAGGATTGTGCTTCAATAAAGTGCGCACAAGAAACAGACAAGTAATGCAATCAAAACCAAAAATTACAATTGAAGAAATTCGTACTTATGTAAGTAAGATGGAAAGTTTGCCTGTTAACATGAAGGAAACTACTGCAATGAAAGATCTACTGAAAAGAGTGGAAACTTTCAAAGAAAAGAGTGAAGAACTTTTGAAGTCTGAGTTTCCTGAATCAAAAGAACTATCTTCATGTTTAGAATTAGGTTATGCTCTTGATATTGACTTACCTGAAGTTCCAAGACTTAAACAGTATTACGAGCAAATGCAATGGCTTGAGAATGTTCAGTTTCAGCGTTCCGAACCAGATAAACTAACTACCGAGATGCTGCGTCAACTCTTGGCCTCTGGTATTGAATTAGCTCCTCATCCTGCTGTGGAAAAGGCAATGGGTGAGTTGCAAATTCTACTGACGCAAGTAGAACGTTGGGAAGAAAAAGCTCGCCAAAACCTTCAAGCTCATTCTCTTCTCCCTATTGAAAATATTGAAAACATATTGCTGGAAGCTGACAACATTTCTGCTCATTTGCCCAGTGTAATACCTTTGAAAGATGCTTTGAAGAAGGGAAAGGAGTGGATTAAGAGAGTGGAAGACATCCAGAATGCAACTAATTTCCCTTATGTTGACACATTGGAAGACCTAGTGAGTCGGGGACGATCCATTTCAGTTCTTTTGGATTCATTGCCACAACTGGAACAGCAACTTCATGGTGCTCAGATGTGGAAAGAACGAACAGCACGTACATTCCTCAGAAAAAATTCTCACTACACTCTAATGGATGCTTTGTCTCCCCGCGTAGCTGTTGGACTAGAAGCATTGAAACTCAAGAAACGCCGGTATCGTGAAGAAACTGAGCTGTCTCGAGTTTCACACACTGTTGCTGGAGTAAAGTTGGAAGGTGATGTGGATCCAGCGGTTGTAGTTGCTGCATTCAAGAAGGCTGAGGAACATGAGATGGCGCGGATGCTGAAATTTCGACAAGAGAATATGCGTAAGCGAGAAGCTGATTGTGGTGATGCACATTATTGCATCTGTCGCCGTCCTATTGCTGGTGTAATGTTTCAGTGTGAATTGTGCAAAGACTTGTTTCATTCAATGTGTGTACCTATACCCAAAACTTCAAACAGTAAATCAAAAGTTGGGAGTGGTGCTGGGACATCTCTGTCATATCTTGGAATGAGTGCTGGTTCTCTACGAGAAGTAAAGTTTCTTTGCCCAAGTTGCTTGCGATCCAGGAGACCCCGCTTGGAAACAATTTTAGCTCTTTTGGTGGCCCTTCAGAAAATCCCAGTTCGAATACCTGAAGGAGAAGCTCTTCAGTGTCTTACTGAAAGAGCTATGAATTGGCAGGATCGTGCAAGACAAGCACTAGCTACAGAGGAATTAGCATCAGCTTTAGCTAAGCTCTCTGTATTATCTCAACAACTTGTTGAGGCTGCCGCTCGTGTTAAGACTGAGAAAATTATTTCAAGTGAACTGAATAAAGCTGCAGCGGCTGGAAATAAAATTCCAGAGATGCAGCGTCTTGACAAAAATCATTCCTCAATGTCTGTATCATCAGAAAGAGGGAAAATTGCTGACGTGGATTCCCCTAGCAGTCAAGATAAAAACAGAAACAGACGTACTCTTGATGATGATGAAAACAGTGGTGGAAGTGGTGAAGATCACAAGAACACTGAAGAAGAAAGAGAAAGAAGAATTTCTCAAACTAGTCCAAATATCAGAGATGATGAAGAAGACACAAGCTTTGAAGACAATGCCAGTTCTTACAGCACATCTGAACATGCTTACTCAACTGCATCACGGACTGGGCTGGCTGGAGGTAAGAAGCATGTGCGGAAAACACCACTTGTTCCCCGTCAGTTGGAAGTACCTGTACTTGCTCTTAGTGAGACAGCTTGCCAGCAGTTGGAAGAATTAATGATGGAAGGTGATTTGCTTGAAGTGTCTCTTGATGAAACTCATCATATATGGCGCATACTCCAGGCAACCAGGCCTCATCAAGACGACAGGTATCCTGACTTTGAGGATTTGGATAATGAACTACAAGTAGAGAAGTTGAGGAAGGAAGGAAGAGAACGTCGAAAAGGGAAAAAGAAATTTTCTGAAGAACCTGATTCACAGAGTGGTTCAAAGAAAATCAAAATCCTTGTTTTTAAGGATGAAGATAAAACGGGAAAACGGCGTGAAGGAAAAAAAAAATTTTGTCGAGAAATGGGTGATCCTACAAAACGGATGCCACGTAAAGGGAAACACAATGCCTCCGAGTCAGAAAAGAAATCTGATAATCCAACACATTCAAAACCAGAAAGTTCTGATGAAGATGAAGACTGTGCTGCTCCAACATGTTTACGACCCACCGGCCATGAAGTAGATTGGGTGCAGTGTGATGGGGGGTGTGATATGTGGTTCCATTTGCATTGTGTAGGACTTGATAAGAAGGACCTGAGGGAAGATGAAGATTATATATGTAAACAATGCTCTAATCCCTTAGGTGAATCTGAACCCACTCAAGAAGTTGATCTCTCACGAGTGAAAGTTGAACATGGTAATGGAGATGTAAGCATGAGTTTAGATGGACTAATCCCATTGTCAAAGACTGTGTCAAGCAGAGATAGTGAAATGACTACTGATGAAACATTAGCTATTAGTTCAGTGGACTGGGGATGCAGTTTTGATGATGCACAATCTGTGCCGAATGCTTCGAGTGAGTGTGGAGAGCAAGGTCAATCAACAATTTCCATTGAGGGTGACACAGAAATATTAGAAACTAATGTGCACATATAGATAGATACTACACTATTATTTCGTAGATTTATGTCTTCTTATATCACTGTTTGTCAAACTATGATGTATGGCTTCAATAAAATTATAATTATTAGTGAGATATATGTGAGTAGTGTGAATACAGAGCCTTTCGAGATCCCCTTATAGTAGATTTCTTTCCTTCATAGTCATTTCTATTGTTTGTCTTTTTTTTCCTAAATAAAGCTTGATATTTTATGGAAGAAGTGTTTTTATTTTTTGAAATATCCCTTTGATATGCCATGTAAGAGGAAACTTCAATCTTTATTTACATTTAGAGTACGTATTTCTCTGGAAGCCTAATGTCTTGCTTTCATTGCCGGAGGGGGCTATTGAATTGTCTAGTAATTTTGAGACTAATTTGATTGTACACTTCCTCAAGATATTGATTTCAATTATGAAAATCAGTTCTGTATTGTGACTTAGAATGACAAGGGAAACATACAAGTAACAGCATCTACATGTCTTGAAAATATTAGGCCTGTGATTTCTGCCAATTTAATACATCAGAAAATCTTTCTTACCTTTAATCTTTCTTTAATTCAGTAGTGTGGATTAATGTCTACAAGCTTCCAGTTCATTGTGAGTTGTTTTCTAAGCTCTTAGATTATTGATTTTTGAGGAATGGTTGTACATGAAAAGACTGAGCTATACTAATCTGTAATGACAAATTCTGCACTTTAGTATTCCTCAAGAGTCGGAAGAATTAATACTCTTGTAAGTCCAAGGATGTTTTCCTCCCTTCAAATACTCCTGATTTAAATGTCTGCGTCTATGTTTGGTTTAAAATTTTTGATTGATATGTTAATTTTTTATTCTACAATGAAGTCCATTCTTAACCTATACCAACCTGCACAAACTGACCTCTTACTAGCGTAGCTACTCAATAAATTGGTGCAACTTAAACTATTCATAAAGATTATAAAATTGGCATGTTATGAAATGAAGATTCAAAAGCTGAAGAGTTACCTCAGAATTGCAGGAATGGTTTATAATGACAAGGAGTGAATCTCAATATTTACTTTAATGAGAAATTGCTGTGATAAACCTTGTTCTAAAATAAGAAAGTTCCTAAAGAAGAGGATTAGGTGTGCAAGTGATTAAAATCTTGATGCTGCTTTTGCAATAGGATTAATTTTTCTTAATATTTTTCTCTATCACATAAAAGTGAAAATGAGAATCATATGTCTGTGTTAAAGTTTTCTGATTTTTGCAGTATGTTACCAAAACATGGTAAAAAAGTTACTAAAATGTGTGCCATTTATGTCACCAAATAAGTGAAATTGTTTTCATTGTAACTGCTTCTTATATTAAACATTACATGTAGATATGAAATAAAAGTTCTTGAATTTAGTGTATTTACAATTTGGAAGAAATTAACATTTATATTATTTTACTTTCTTAAATTTAGGATAAATAACAGAAGAATATAAAAATGGCAAACTTTTATGAAGATCTCGCTGGTGAAGCAGGAAGTGATATTGAATCTGATATATCAGATGTCAATCCAGCAGAAATGGCAAAGATGTTGCAGGTTAGGTTTCACATGGCTGATCAACTAAGTATTGTTATTTAACAAATTATCTTACTAGGTGCTGAATTAAAATTTTACAGGGCCTTGATGACATGGATGATGCTCTTTTTAAATCCAAGAAACAGAATGAATCTATAACATCTCCAAGAAAATCATCCAGAAAGGTATGGTCATATTATTGTTGCCCTTTATTACCATCCAATGCACCAATGCTTTAAAAGTATAAGTTGTTATTGTCCTTAGGCATCATCGGCCCAAGATCTTTCTTTGAAGTCAGATAAACAACATGTCACATTTGGTGAAAATACAACAAATATTATTAAAAAGAAAGGACAGGCAAGAAAAAATCAAGATGAGGGTAAATTAGGAAATATTAATGGTTTTATTCTAATCTTTTATTTACTGATCATATAATTGACTTGCTTTCTTTCATAAAATGAGAATTTACTATTATTATAGAAATTTTGAACAGGAATTTTAATATTTTTTTTTTTAGATTTTGATTGGGATGATCCTTTGGGAGACATTCTATCGAGTGATGAATCTGGTGGGAAAATAAAATCATCTGTAAATCCACAAATGACTCAAAAGAAAGGTAGACAAGCAATGCCTAGTAATAAGCCAATTGATGGTAAAAGTTCAATATTAAAAGATAAATCAGTTAAAGATTTATTTGGCTTAGAAGATCCCAAAGAAATAAATGAAAAACAAGAAAAAGATTTAAGCAAACTTGTCTCTGAGCCAAAATCATTGGAATCATACTTAGATATGAAATCTCCAAAGAAAGCAGAAACAACTTCATTGAACGATGAATTAAATACTTCTAAAGTATTTTCAGTTTCTGATACTGCTATGACTAAGAAAAAACCTTCTTCAAAAGCATCTGCATTTCAGAAGAAAGCTGATGAAACTGAAAGTGATGATCTGTTAATGGGTTTAGGTTTAGATACAGATAAGAAAACAGCCAGTAAATTATTTAGTGGTAGATCTAATGTAGCAAAATCAAGGTCAATTATGGATGACATATTTACAAGTCCAGAAAAAAATATTGGCACAAGTGATTCAAAGAAAACAAACAAACAGGAATCAGCCAATGAAGGTACAGTTGCCTTTGGCAAATATGCTCCATCTGTATCAAATACACGAGAATCACGTCGTGCTACCTCTAGACGAGAAACCTCAATTGGAGATCCATTGGGCTTGTTTTCACCCCCAGCTACTCCTAGAAGAAGCCAAACAGTGGAATCGGACCATAAAGCAGTATCCAATTTGCAAACATCTACACCTATGAAGAAATCTGAATACAATGATGACAAATCTGATTGGTTAGGACTATCTACAAGTAAGGAAGCAAAAACACACTCAATATCTCCTGAGCGTAAAAGAATCGCTGAAAGAAAACCTCCCAAATCAGCACAAATTGATCCTGGTGTGCAGCATCAGCCTTCTGCTTCTGATAACCTTCCAGAGTGGTTAGGAGGATCTGGAGGGCATAAACAGAAAGAAGGAACTTCAAGAAATGCAGAGCATGTAACATCTGCCAACACTCCACAAATTTTACAAAGTGTTCAGCCCAAAATCGTCTCTGGGGTAGAAACAGGTGAGTAATTCATTTTATTATTTTTTATATCATTGTGCCGGGTGAGATAAAGGTCAAGAAACATTTCAAAGTTTCAACCAGGCATGGATTAAGGAACTGTCTAAGGGGTGGCAAAAAAGTTTTTTTTTTTTTATGGAAAAGTTTGTATTTAATGAATGATTTTTTTTATTATATAATTTAATATGATAGAAAATGGAGGGGCTATTAGTAAACAAGTCCATTTTCATTATACCTGTATGATATATGCAGCTAGTATCAAAGGGTCAAATTTTGTACAAAATTAAGTTATTTATTGTTTGTGATAGATTTTACCTACAAGAATGCAAGCAGCCATGATATGGTTCCAAACCATACAAATATAAAAATGCATTGTCAGATAGGGGCTGTGTTGCAGTATCCACCAAATCCATGTTTTTATATGCAATTTGCCAAAACTTTCTGTGAATGAGTTTGGTGGCTTTTTATAATGTTATTATATTTTTAAAAAGGAAAATGGTATTTTAATAAATGCAGAGTGTTTTTCCTGGAATTTGTATACTAATTGTCATAATCGTTGTAAAACATCTTTAGAAATTTAACAGTTAGGATGAAATCAAATTCTAATTTAAATCTTTCTAGACCTGGTATTTTTAAACTGGGTGTTGCAGCTTCTCGTGCATCACAGTCTTATGGTATGGGTGTCACAGTTTATTAAAAATGATCTTTAGATTTCATTTACTTTAATCTTTGTGTTGTTTATATCCACATAATATTTTTGTAATATCATACTAAATGTTATTTGTAAAACAAATTACAAAAGAATATGCTTTTTAATTATTACAAAAGTCTTTGCTTACAATATTATTTAGTAAAATTAATTGTGGATTAATTGAACCTGGCAAGTCCTTTGCCAACAAGCTTCTGTGGCTCTCTTAGCATTGACGATTATCCCTAGCATGCATTGGGGATATTTAATCTTTCTACCCACGCAGATCAAGAGTTCCCATGCTCACGCAAGCTATGTCCAACCTGTGTTTGGCTGATATCAAAATTGACTGTTGAAAAATAATTGCGAGGTGCAGTTTCAAATATTGAACTTAGATTTGAACAATTGTTGATGAGTTTTTAGAAGAATTTTGTCATAAAATTAAGTTGGGTAAAATATGTTATCTATTATTTTAATACCTAAATAAAATGGAGAAATAAATCAGCCTATTGACTCATTTGTGCTGAATCTTCTATAGGCCTATCTTAAACCTTGTACTTGAAACTATATAGGGGAACAGCAGGAAGTTTTGTTTAGGTCAAGGGAGCCGTGGACAAAAAGAGTGTGAAAACCCCCATTCTAGACTAAAAATATGATGAAGTCCATTTTCTTATTTAGTACAATCAAATCATCACTTATTCAAAATCATTTTCTTTGATTTTATTTTACTAATTTAGCAAAAATGCAATTTAATTTTTTAGTTTTATTAGTTTTCTGAGAGTAAATGTCTAAGAGAGAATTTTTAGTTCTTGCATCAAATTAAAGATTGATGTCGTATCAAAAATATTTAGTGAAAACTCTGTAGAATTATAAATTTATAAAATAAATTAGTTTCAATTAATAGGTAGTAAAAATAACTAAATTGAATTTACTATAATTTTCATTAACGTACAAATAATGGCATTAATAATCACAACATTGTTAACTTTACTCTTGTGAAGGTCCTTTGCCAAATGCACAAGTCTTAACACTGCATACCCAAAGCCAGATGGAGCAAGAAGCAGCATATGCACTACAGTTGCAAGAACAACAATTGCGTACTGCTCTTCAGTTGAGGCAGCATGAGGTGCAACTAGCAAATGTTCATGAAAGGCAGCGTACCTTGCTACATCGTCAAGAACAACAGATGCAGCAGTTGCTAACTCAACAGGTACAAAGGCAGAAGCAACTGGAACTACAGCTACAAGAACAGCAGCAGCGAATAGCAGATTACATGCAGGCACTTATGAATCAGCCCCCAACAACTATCGTATCCACTCTTTCTCCTGAACTAGAACTTCCAATCACAAGCAGTACAACATCTACACGAACAAAAGAGAAAACATCAACAAAAGAAGAGAATAATGAAAATACTACAAATCAAAATGATGAACCAGAATTAACTGATAGGGAAATCCAAGTGCAGCTGATGGAATTGCAAGTAAGGAAACATCCAGCTCTATCTCAAAATCATTCATTATGAACCAGAACATACTGAGTCCCAAGAATGATTTCCCTCCAGTCTCATGAATGTAAATCAATAAAATATTAATATCAACAAATGTAATATTAATATTTCAATCTTAATAAGCAAATGGATAATATCTTTGATTATTAAAAATCCTTTCTGATGAATTAGAGCCTTTTTTCTCCAGAATTCAAACGATCTCACTAAATGTCGTTTAAATATTTTCTTATTAACTGTGATCTTTGTAGATTGCCCTACAACAGTGTACATTGGAAAAAAAAGCTCTTGAATCAACATTAGAAAATGTACAAGCTAAACATAAAGAAGAGTTGCATTTAATGGAAAATTCCTACAAGTAATAATGCATTTTGTCTCTATTTTATTATTCTTAATTTTATTACATTTTATTTACGTCTTTCAACCATTTTTTTGTATTCAGGAGACAAATTTCAATTCTGGAAGAAGCAATGGAGAAACATAACGCAAGACTAAAAGAGGAGAATGAAAGAATTGAAACAGAATACAAAGAGCGTTTAACTAAAATGCAGGTTTGTTAGTCCTCTGCAAACAGGTTCTTAATATTAATCTATTTTGTTATTTCATTCTTTTGCCTTAAGTGTAAGAATCTATTTGACTTTGTGAAAGATTTTTGTATTTACTGATCTGTACATTCTCTAGATTTCTACTTTGCTTTTCTATTGTTGTGAGAGATCAAGAGAGAAGGGACAGAATTTTTTTTCTTTCTTTTTTGAACAGTTTTCTTCTCTTTTATGAACTTTTAATTATTGTAGTGGTCAGGCATGAAATCTTTCTTTCTTCATAATATTTTGCAACTTTCTTGTATTTTAGCTTTCATTTTCTCTTATTATTCACTGTGATGTCAATAATTAATTTTTGTAGAATACAATATTGGCAGTTTGCTTCCCTGGTGCCAATGTCTGTGTCATTGTATCATATCAGGATAAATATCTCAGAACAATTGCAATATTTTAAACACAAAATAATACAATATATATTTTTCAGGAACAACAAACTAATATCATTGAAAAACATGCACTGCAGTTGGCTGCCTTACAGAAAGAACATATAAATGATATGCAAGCCTTGAAAGATCAGCATAGTGCTTTACTAGAACATGTACAATGTACACAACAAAAAGAGACAAGTGCAGTGAGAGAGGCTTCTCATAATATGACGTCAGTAATCCATTAATTCAAAATTACAATGTTATTGTTTGATTTTTTTTTATTGAATTCTTCAATTTGTCTTCATTTAACCAAAGTCTCACATGCTTGACTTAACTCAACTCTCACTGACTAATAGCCTTTATTGATGGAAAAGCGTGTGTTTCATATTTTATTCCAATTTTCTATTGCAGAATTCTCCAAAGTACAATTGAGCAATTGGGTCGCAACACAGACAGTCTAAGTGAAATGCATGGGTGGCTTGAGAAACAGAGCAGTGCACACATGGAACTTAGAGATTTGGCCCTTAAGACAAAAGAAGCAGAAGTACAAGGTATTTTAGCCATTTATTTATTTTATTTTTTTTATTTCAGAAAGAGAACAATTAGGCATAAAGCCCAAGTACAAAAGCCCAATTCATTGTACATGAATGATTTAATGAATACATAAGAATATGTAATATATTAATGAAAAGATAAATATATGGATTCATTATTAAGTGAACATTTATGAGTTTCACTTGAATTCCAATTTAACTCTGTAAAAATTAAAATAAAGAATTTAAAAATACAGATCTTGCATATCATTTGAAAGAATTTATATTTCATATATTTAATGATAGTATGTTTATATTTTTATTGCCTAATCTAGTTAACCTTGTAATCGGTGAGTAGAAACCATAGGATGTTTCGTGTGATGGGTTCTTAAATGGATTTGCGGTGTGCAGAGTATGTGCTTAATCATTCATAACCAATGATTTAAATGTGGGACTGTTAAAATCATTGTTGATAATCCTAAACACATCACAGGGATCATTTTGCGTGAAAATGATTCAAGGGTATTAATATTTGCAAAGCTCTTGTAATTATGTGTGAGGTACGGATTGGGAAGATTTCGATTGAAGGCCACATAATTAAAGAATCTATGTTAAACATTTTCAATTCTCTTCAAATGTGAATTGTAATATGGGACCAAATAGTTGACACTTGCATCAAAATTGGTTTTACTAGGTTAACATATAAATTTGTTAGAAAACATAAGAGTCTGTAGGATTTTGTGAACAATATAATGTATATGGTTTATAAAAGTCAATTTGTTGTCAAATATTACCCTCAAGTCTTTTATACATGTTACATATTGAAGAGTTTCATCGACAGTTTATAAATTATTTCAGTGAGTGTTTGTGTGTAATTTTTTTCAACAAAAATTTATAATTTTACATACATTTATATTTAATTCCATTCTATTTAATTTACACAATGTGTAATATAAAGTGTGTAGTGTATTTAACTGATTCTGAAGTAAATTAAAATCATTAATGTTGTTCATTTTGTGATAGAATTTTCTGTTGTCTGTAAATAGTAAGAATTCAATTAGTTGGATTTAATATAATTAACGAAAATTATCAACAGGAGTGGTTCAAGGTTTGAGTCTAGAGGCACTCCAGAAGAGATGTTTATGTTGTAGGACTGAAATTCTTTGTGTTAGACATTTTCATTTCTCCTAGTTAGACATAACTGAAACCTAATTTTTTAATGTTCAAGGAATATCTAATTTGTTTAGTTTATCAAGCAGTAAGAGAATTGATACTTTATCAAAAGTTTTGGAAAAGTCAGTATCTATAGCATTTTTTTGTTTTCCATTTTCAAAGGATTCATTTATGACATGATTTCAAATAAGTAAGTTTTTTCAATATATTGTTACCTGCTAAAGAATCAGTTGTTCTTCAGTTATTGAGGAAAGAGTCTCAACTGCCTGAGACAAAAAGATCGTAGGTACAAATCCTGACGGTGGCAGGATTTCCTCTAGCTAGATAGCTAGGTTGTATTAAGTCACTGTCTAGTTGAGTATTTTAGTTGCTGGCTTCCCTGATTAGTATTTTCCTGTGGTTTCTCCAATCAATACCAGGCAAATATCAGAGCAGTAGCCTAACAAATGGGCCACGGACCGCCCGTAATCTTTCCTTCCTCTTCCGTGCCCTATCTTTACTTCTTACTTACACGCACACTTACATGCACTTCACTACTACACAATTTGAGACCAGACAGGTTTAGACCTTGTCCCTGCTGGGGCGATGCCCTGCTGGTGAGAGAACACCCTGCTAGTCGATGGGCAGGTTGACAGAGGGGAAGATCACCACCACCTCCCAAGAAATACGCACACACTAAACATATGGGATGACCTAAGGATGGATAATGACCTAAGCAGTTGGCATGACCAGAATCACTAATCAATTAAATCAAATTAATACATTTGCTTCAGTAAAACTTGCTCAAAGTGGAATATCAATGGACAGGATTTTTTTCTGTATTAGACAAGATTCTGCATTATGCAATGTAATATTGTCCAATTTATGTTTGGCAAGACTGCAATTTATGTTCACATTAGACAGATTTCTGCATTGTTCACTTTTCCGCATTGAGCAAATTTTACTGTATAAGCTTTAGGATTGCAATTGACTTTTGGTTATTTATATCTGTTTTACTACCTGATTTATAAATGACCTTCCATAAAGTTGGAAATTTTCCATCTGGAATTGATGTGTTTTAAATATTTGAAAGTGGTACACATAACACATTAGCTCATTTCTTGAGAACAGATGCGGGAATGGCTTTTTTAAAATTCCAACTCTTTCATGCATTCGTCACATCTAAAAATCTGTTTTGATGTATCAATTGGTCAACGTGCTATTAACTTTTGTGATTATTTCATAATAGAGTCTTTTCATTTAAAATGAAAAAATGAATTCTTGGAATGTTGTGTGCACAGCTTACAAAGAAAATTTAACTCGTCAGCGAGAAGCAGCAGAAGAGGATCGAAGAAAATTACTTTGTCTAGTTGAACAACTTGAGTTGCAAATTGCACAGCAACGATCAAAGAGTGAAGAAGATAGGTATGCATTGCGTCAAGAAACAGTTAGACTAGATGCTCGTATAGAGGCATTTGAAAGGGAGAAAGAACGAGTTAAAGCAGAAATAGAGAAAGAACGTCAGCATGTTGAGGTAAAGGCATATCTTTATCTGAATTAGTTATTTTAATTATTCATTATTTTATAATAAATATTTTCTATATACTTTAATGACACAAACTTCAGAAAGCAAGACTAGTGCTTCTCGAAGAGCAAAAGACTGTAAGCTTGCAGCTTAAAGAAGAAAAGCTCAGTCTTGCCAAGGAAAGGGCTCGAATTCAAGCACTAACTCAATTGCAAGGATCTGCCGCTGCTTCAGAAGAGGAGGTCATGCAGGTATTTTAAAAACTAGGTGCTATTGAATAAAGTAGCATACTTTATTGCTTTTCTCACATCAGTATTACAGAGATAACTGTTTAACCAAACTGATGGTTTTGCAATTCCGTGCTCAATTTTCTTGTTTTAATCAAGAACAAAACATATTTACTTTTGTTAAAATTAACTGTGATATGAGAATGTCAACTATTCAATGGTGCATAGCCTCAAATATTTTAACTTTATTTGTGCTAAACACGACCGACAAATTTATTCAGAAATTATTTTATTTTCTCAGTAATAAATATTTTGTATTCCCTATTACTATACAATATATTGCAAAAGAGCTTCTATAACTTCGTTTTGCAGCTGAAAGCAGAAGCAGAAGCTGCTCTAACTGTGGCTAAAGAAGCAACTGAACAAGTAGAGACCCAGAAGCAAGTCATCCAAGAACAGCAGAGACAGATTGAAAAAGAACGTCGCAGACTACAAGAACTAGAACACACATTAACGACACGAGCTCGTGAACTAGAAGCACTCACTAAGGTATTTAAACAATCAATTGTTTCATCATTCATTCAGGTAGAGGGTTGTGTTTAAATTATAGTTCTTATGTGCTAAGGTATTGCACAACAAATTTAAAAATGTGTACTGAATTTTGTAGCAGGAATATTCAATTGCAAACCTAAAGGAATTGTAAGACACATATGGCTTACATAATAATTGCATTGCTAATTAAATATTACAAATTGATATTCGACAATTGTCAAATTCAAAAGCCACTTACTACCACAGCAGATATCATAAATCATGGATTTACAACATTTTTTTATATTCTGGAGGTGATAGTTCAGTAATTCAAAACAGCAGATATTTTTCTCACACATAAAAACTCTGTTTAATTACACATTAAAATGAAAATATTCATTACAAAATTGATTGTTATTTTGCAGTTTTAATTTTAAAATATTACCCCAATACATAAGTAGATTTAGACATATAAAAATATTCGTAAGAGATGAAATAGGTGTGAATAGAGTTTAAAATAACTTCACATTCTATATATAAATTATATTTCACTCCATGGTGTTTTATTGGTACTGTCTTGGCACTATTTTATGTTTTATTTGCAATTTTGGCCATACGAAATCTGGAAGCAATGAGAAACAGTGTAGGTAGTACTATTATGTCCACAAGAAGGATCCAGTTTGCAGTGTTTTAAAAATTACTACATATTACTGAAAATGTAAACAACTCTTGCTTTCTTTTTTAGAGCATGATTGACAAGAAACAGCTTCACCATGCATTGAAAAACAATCTCACTCATGTATCCAGTGCCTGATAATAGTGCTTTTATTATTTTTTTTTTTTTGGCATTCTAAAACTTAAATGGTTTTTTCACAATAAAATACATGTAAGAAAAAAGAAAGATGTAAATTGGTAGAATTTTGTGGCACCTTACATTGCACAACTTGAGAGTATTTCTACAAAGTAAACCTAACCAAATGTGGATTATAAGTTAAGACAATAGCTAGTGTTTGCAAGCTCTGAAACTACTTGCATTGATGTTCTGAGCACATAAATAATAGAATTGTCTCTCCTTGTAGATGACTGTAAATAGTCCATATAATTCAAAAATAGGATTATAAACATAAAAGAATAGGAATAGGATATAGGAATGTACACTTTTAGTCTCTAATGCTAAGGTATATTTAGGCACTGCAACTGTAGTTGCTGTAAAATCATCTTGGTATTGTAAGAGGTTTGATAAGTTATTTTGAGGGACGTATGTCAAAATAATAAAATAGATTTTTGCCTACAAATCCTGACCTACTAATAAGTAACTCATAAATTACTACTACACACCTGCACAAAGAAATACTAATGCTTATGAATTGTCTGGATCAGGGATGCCCAACTTGCAAGGCCTCAAGGGCCACAACTAAAACCTTTAATATGGCAGTGGGCCATATTTTCATTATTCCGGAGATCCACATGTGACTTCTCTGTAATGTTAACTTTGGCATTGACTGGCTGGTGGTGTGGTATCATTCGTGCCATTAGGCTGTGCCATGCATAAAGCAGCAAATCAAATGAGGACTTCTAAATCCTTAAATCTAAACTTCACCTACATTTACATTAAAATGGGTGTTGACTCCAGCAGGGCACATGCGCTAGAGGCAAAATGTCCTCACACAACATGGTTGCACAGCACTTTCATTTTTTACGAATCATTTTTTTTGGGCTAGCTGCCAGTTGGACAACACTGGTCTAGAACCAGCTTATTCACAACCTTATTTATTGTTAAAAGAGCAAACAATAGAGCAGCAATAGCATTAGATTTTCTTTATTTTTTATTTTTTTTTTATATATTTTTCTTTTCTTTTCTTTCTCCAGACTGCTTTAGCAACACGTAATGAAGGAGCTGAAGCATTGGCCAGTGCTGTCGAGGCTGAAGAGAGGCAAAAGCAACGAGCTGTGGATTTGCAGAGACAATTAACAGAAGTGAAAGATAGAGAGAAGAGAGTGGCTGAGGTAACAGCATATATGGCGTGGGTTTACAAATTCCACAATCCTGTAATGTATTTTTTTAAATACAAATTATACTAATACTCTTTCAGGAAAGAATGTTACTATCTCAGGAGCGACTGAAAATTCATAGAAAACATGAACAGAAGATGTGTCCATCTTGCAAATGTTCTTTAACGAAACCTCTCATATCCACAGAACAGTCTCAAATGACATCTGCAGATTCAAATAAGGTTGGTAATTTGTTGGAAAAATAATATCGTACAATATTTTTCATGAATTTGTGCACTTAAAAATTGTAATTTCTTGGTCATCTTCTTTACAGTACATTGATCCAAGGAAAGTAATTTTGAAGCTAGTTGCCGAAAAAGAAAGAGATGCCTTGCTTAGCAATTCTCTAAATGTGTCTGGACCAAAATGATTACTCCTGTTTTTTAAATATCACACTTGCACTGAAATTAATACATTATTTTGCACCAATCCACCACCAAGAAGTCTGATTTAAAAAAATAAATGTGTTAAAATAGGGATTTTGATTTTCTATAAAAAGTATTATTTTGTACTTGATATTCGTCTTCAGTAAAACATTTTTTAAATAAAATAAATAGAGGAGTGTTTAATTACTTCATTTTTCAATAAGTGCTGTAAATTGTTTGCGATTTTCATTTCAAATATTCCAAAAGATTTTAGTTTCATTCAATTTAATACACACAGTATATTTTTTTAAAAAAAGAGCAATCAGTTGAAGTTGGTTTTAGATTTCACACAAAAATGAAAATTCATTTTTCATTCAAATTTATTAAATTTCAGTGATTTAATAGATTGTGTTACTCTCTGCAAATACAATGCAGAAAATTAAGAATTTTCCTGCCATTTATTATTAAGATGTTTTTAAAAACTTTGATCAATTAGATTCTAGAAATACTAGGCACCATGTTATAGGCACGGTTGCCAGAATGGTAATGGATATGAAATGTCAAAACTTTATTTAGTATTAGTGTACCTTCTTTACTTGTGCATATTTCAACAAATGAATCCAAAAACTTATGAACAATCAAATGATTGTAAAATCAATACTTCAAAACGTTAGTCGAAAATCTGCAGTTGTTACACATGCAACAATAAACAGTTGGGCATGGCGAGGGCAGAGTAAAACCACAAGTCATAATTCTTGAAACGAACCTTACGGCGACTGTCAAATATTAACATCATAGAAAATAATAATTAATGATTGCTTTTTTATTATTATTATTATTATTATTATTATTATTATTATTATTATTATTATTATTACTACTACTACTACTACTACTTTTGAGTAAGTAATTATTTTAATTTGTTCAAATACTAGTATAAGATATGATGGGCTTGCTTCCTTCCTTCAAATGTGAAATGATATAAAAGAGATGGTGACCCTGTAGGCGTCGGCAAGGAGCATGTGCGCGAGCCCAACTGTTCGAGGGAGAGCTTATCCTGAGTCCAATCATAGGCCGGCGGCTTGTGGCGTCACAGGCAGGTTGCGAAGAAAAGTGAAAGGCAGCATGCGGCGCTGGAGAGAGGAGGTGCGGTGGGGCGGACACGTGACGCGCTGCTCAGCGTGCGTACGTGACAGCTGCTGCCCGTCTACGGCCGACTCGACCTGACCATCACGCCCCCCTCCGAGTGTTACGTGTACCCGTTATGCTCGCTTATGGCCGACGACTCCTGCAACCTTTGCTCATCAGAATCTTTTCGTCACACATAGGATATATTCAGCAGTGACTCGTATTGTATGGCAGCCGTATGCAGCAGTCTGGCTATAAAAAGATATAAGATAAAGTAATAAACTTGTGGTGCTACAGAATGGCACAGACTGTCTCGTACTAATTAATTTCTAATATCTTTAGTCTGGGCTAATTTGTCGGTCTTGCCCCGTCGTCTTGTCTGCTACCATCTATTGCCTATTAAACAATCTCAATTTTACGGTTTCCTAATGGTGGAACCAAAATATTACTTTATATTACAGAAGTGTAAGACCTCTTCCTTCATGGAAATATTTGTTGAAACATTTGGAGCTGTTTTGAAGAAAATGTCTATTAGGCGTTACTGTAAATGCAAAATGTCACGCTCTTTTTATACAGAAAACTTTAGAGTTTCACTTCTACTCGCAAATGCAATATCTACTGTATACCATTCGCTGCAACTGAGCACAGTAATGGCGTGAGAGATATTAAAAAAAATTCTTTAGCGTAATTTTTTAAAAATTGAAAGAATATAGCAAAATGGCTTTTGTGTCATCAACAGTGTATCAGTCTAAACATTCCACTATCCGTAAAAAAAGTTAAAGAAAAAATTGGAGCCGTTTTTGAGAACATCTGTTAGTATGAGCGTTTCTGAAAAGGCGGAAATTTGAGCTCTTTTTCACAACTTTATAAGACAACATTCGAAGCACATGTACTCATAATTGTGCTCACATGTGCAATAATGTGAACAAATCACCGCTAATGTAAATATTAACGTCGTGAGAGAAGTATAAAAACAGTGTAATTTTGGAAAAACAAAAATGTACAGCAAAATGGCGTCATCTTAGGCGATGTATTTAGCACTATCCCCACCAAAAGTGGAGCAATTTTTTTTTAGAAATTATTGTTTCTGGAATTTTTTGTGATTGCACATATTTCATGAAGTATTGCGTGAAAGCTACTCAATTTTTTAAAAAAAATGTACACGAAGTTATCGAAAGAACTAATTATGGAGAACAAATTTAATTTGAAACTAAAATCTCTATTTTCAATGTTGTAGTTGTAGAAAGACTTTTGAAAAATACGAGAATTTAGAATTAACAGTGAAAATCGCATAGTGTGAAGCGAGCACGCTGACCAACTGCTAGCCACGAGGACTTTATAAGTGTATTTCACTCTATTATTACAAGAAATTTAAAGAAAAAAAATGGAGCCATTTTTGAGAATATTTTGAAAATGTCCCAGTGCAATGCCTTTCGCTGCAGGTGTTTGTGCTACTAGCAGCGATTGCAGACATTTACAAATGCTTCCAGTACAGGTTGCAAAATTGAGTTCGCAGGAAAAATATTGAGTTCCCTGGAGGAGCGTGGTGGTGAGCGATGTTTCAAGTACAGAGACCAAGTTCGATGAAGTATGAAAAGTTTAATTGAAAAAGTAGAACTGCAGAGCAGCGTGAAGTTGACACAGCAAAGTCTCTGGGCTGTCTGCCCGTTATCAACGCTAGAAGATCCTTATATGGGAAAACAGGGAGATTTATGAGGCCATTACGCCACCCCCGCTAGAACTCGACAGGTCCTGGACGCAATAAACTGACATTACTGTCAGAGGACATTTGCCCTTTTGTAAACACTGTCTCATAAGTTCCCAAACATCCCCGTTTCCACTATCTGGATCGTGTTAGCGATATATATATATATCTATATAATTATATATTTATATATAATATATATATATATATATAATATATGATTGTGCAACCCCATAACGACACCGTCTAGCACCTGTGAACACCCACACGCAGCGAGGATAGCATACGCGGCGGAGCAGTGGCTCTTAGGGCTGGTTTCACGAAACAAAGAGTAAGAGTTTACTCTGGAGTAAATCATGTTTACTGGAGAGTAACGTCTTGGACCGTTTCACCAATACTTTTCTCGAGTGTAAATCGCTTACACGAGAGTAAATTAGAGAGTAACTTTACACCGCGAAAATCCGTCGGGTAAAGTACGGAGTAAATTCAGTTTTCAACGTCCATGTACCTCCGAAGTGTGGTTACGGTTCGACGATTATGAATGATAGTATTTGAAGACGATTCAGCAATGATTCGGAATATTATCCACTAGTGCGAAGACAAAGGGTGCGAGAGAAAATGGATTGGTTTTAATTATGACGATCGAGATTTTTGTCATGAGGTTATGTTTGACCAAATCAGCTGTTTAACTTCATCAGATACATTCTAAACTGTAGAGAACTTCTAAAGTTCTTTTTGTCCCGTGTGGATACGAAATAAAGGTAGTACGTACCGAATACGACAACAAGAGGAAAAATAATAACTACAGGAACTACAAGTACTAAGAAATAGTCATTTATTTATTCAGTAAAAACTGTATGTGACGTATGGGGGAGATCATTTGCGCACGTTTTCTTGAATTTCAAAATGCCTTGTTGAAAGATGAATACATGTTTAAAAAATAAAACAACACAATAATAAAATTTAGACAAACACAAGATCAGCAACGTTTGAAAAACTAAACATTTTCGTTCCCTTGATATAGAAACTTTATTTGCACCGCCATCGGTAAACGAACTGCAAATTAGATTTTTCTGCATTGCTAACAAAATAGTAACTCGTCTTCAAAGAATAATGAATATTTATTAAGAAATAAAGATACAGAAACTAGGAAACAAACTATGCTAACTCATACCACCATAACACCTCACCAGATTATAACTCCAAGATCTCCGAAACTGAAATGAATGATCGAATATAAGGAATTAATCAAAAGTTCACGTTGGTCCGCATTGGTTCCCAGCGTCATTCTCGCTCACAGCCTCTTGAATCGCTCTCAAATATTGTGTGTTCAGCTGATTTGCGGAGTACATCGGAGAGTATGTACTCTTAGAGTAAAATAACCCTCTAGAAGCATGGTGAAACGCTCAAATTCTACTCGAGTTACTATCTTGGAGTAAATGGTTACTCTCGGGTAACTACTCTCAACTTTACTCGGCTGTTGGTGAAACCGGCCCTTAAACGCACAACCTGTTATTCGTTGATCGTACTAGAGCGCTCGAACTAGCAAGCAGCGTTTTTCCCGTGGAGGGTTGAAAGAGGAGAAGCAACCTCACTCTTTAAATTTCCCCAGGCGTCGAGTCATAAATACGGTAACACGCTTCGGGAGCAGTCTCTGATATTCCAGCAACGACGACGAACGCATCGGCAGCGCTTGAATCACAGCAAGGTCAGCGGACAGGTCTTCTCGAGCTAGAGTAGGAGTCTATTTAAATACGTGTGGAGCTAGAGCAGTATAAATTATAATACCGAAGAGATAGGAGAAAGTGGTGTAAATTTTAAAATCAGCAATAAGTCTAATATTGTCTCTATTCGCGCAGAAGGACTCCAGTACAGTCATATTGCTCCTTATTGCTGCACATGCCAAAAGTGTAGTAGTTAGGCCGCGCACGCAAACGAAAGGGGCGCAGTAAATTAGATAAAACTGGAAGCGCGAATTAATTTCTACAACGAGGCGTGAGAAGATAGAAAAAGAACGCATCTCCAAGAAGGCTCAAGCGTACGTGAGAAAGATATGGCCTTGGATGGAAGGTAGGGCGTGTAGGTGCGAAGGATCTGGGTTCAGCGTGGGACTTCGAACGGTCGACGCAGCAAGTGAAGAATTCGTCGAAACGTTGGAGCGGTAGCAACCTTGAATCGGCGAGGTCATCTGGCAGCGAACAACGCAGCGTCGGTGAGACACGCGCGTTTGTACTACAGCAGTTTCGTTGAAAAAAAGCAATCGCAACAACGCGACAGTTCACTAAAATTGCTTAAAGTGGGAAAGTCTAGTTATGCGTGGTAGTAGAGCAAGTGCAATCCCGAATTATTCGT